CCCCAAAACCCCAAAACCCCAAAACCCCAAAACCCCATATTTAACTTATAAATTTGAAATAAATTTATTCTTATAATAATTTTAAAATGTCAGTGAGAGGTTCGTCAAGCAGGAAGTCTCGAACAATACTTACCCAAAAGAAGGCGCTAATGGATAGCGCAGCTGGTGCAGGAGAGACCATTAAAAACTCTCAAGAGCAGACCACGACCATCAAGAAGGTTTCCAAGTACAAATAAGCCTGCTTATCTGCAGTCTCTCAATGAGGCTGAGAAAGCAGCTAATTTCAAAATTATTGATAAGATGAATAAGCGGATTAACTTTTTAAGGAACCCGCGGTTCAAGGCCAATAAGGCACCGATTATGCTCAACAAAGTAAGCATCCTAGGCTGATTTTGTAGAAACCAACAGGGAATGCATTTGACAAGAACAATCCCTTCTCAGTTGAGCCGAGAGAGATAGTTTTCATGGATTACCAAATCAATGGAGTTTATGAAATCCCTCTAAAAATCACTAATCAATCTGGTATCTCAAGAAGGTTCAAGTACCGGCCTCCTGAGAAGTAAATATTATGTATAACGACTAGGGAATTTTTCTCAATCAGGAAGATCAAGTATCCGTCAAAGAAGGAGAGCATGATTGCTCCAGGGATGAGCATCATCATGAACATTGCCTTTACAGCACCTACATTCGCAGATTACGATGACACTTTGACGATTGTGACAGAGGAAAACTCTTTCGAAATCCCCTTAATAGCCAGGAGAGATCCTCCCAAGATTAATTTAGCAAACCCTCTTGACTGCAAGTCATGCTGGATCGGAGATAGAGTCGACATGAGCTTCAGATGTGTCAACACAGGTGGAGATGGTGGCTTCAAGTTCTTCTGTGAAAGAGATGAAGATGACAAAAACCAAACAGAAGCAGACTCAATCAAGCTAGGCCCTTTCATTATTTATCCAAGCGAGTTTTATCTCTATTCCGGCAATGGAATTGATATATATGTGTCTTTCAATCCAAAGGAAGAGGGATGGGCAAGAGAGAACCTCATTCTAGCATGTGATAATCATACTTCTGAGTTTTACACTCTCCAAGGGCTTGGATCCATGCTCGACCTAGATGTAACAGAAGTAGATGGGAGGTCTGTTGATACTAAGTTACATCCATTACAGACAATCTTCTTCCAGAACACTAATCCTCAGACTGAGGCTTGAAGAGTGATTACGATCAAGAACTCGTCACCAATTTTGATTAATTATCACTGGTCCATCTACAGAACAAGAAGCACCTCAAAGATTCTTCTTCAGGATGAGGAGACTCACTACAGGATTGAGCCAAATCAAGGTAAAATAAGCGGGGAAGGCACTGAACAGTTCAAAATATTCTTCTCCCCAGAACATGCCAGTCCTTACTATGAGTTCTGTGACTTTGTCGTCGAAGGACTCCCAATAGATAGTATGAGAAACCCACCAGAAGCTTTAAAAATGTTCTCAGATGCAACTAAAAACGAAGATGTGAGAATCACGATGCCAACATATATTGGATCTAATACTCCATATCTCAGTATTCCTTACATGCAATACAACTTACGTGGTCAAGGCAATTTCAGGAAGATGTACCTTGATCCACCAATTCTTGACTACAAAGAGCCGTTACTGATCAACAAGCCTTACACCACCTCTATCATAATGCGGAAGGAGAAGAACAAAGACAGTAAAAATCTTAGTGAAGGTCAAGCTACCCTATATAAAAAGAAAATCTGGGTCGAAAGTGTCAGCGACGAGACATTCGAAGTCATCATTGATACTAAAAAGTTTGATGAGTCAACCTCTTCAGAAGATGACATTGACATCTCAGTGACCATCCAAAGTACCACCACTGGAGTCAAAACTGCTTACTTAAGAGTTGAAATTGAAGATGGTGCTCCGCTCTCCTACTTCATCCAAGCAGAGTTTGACGGCCCACTAATCTCAATAGTTGAACCATGTGTGGAGTTTGGGTTACAAAAAGTTAACACCCAGGTATCATTCACTATGAACGTGCAAAACCATTCTTCTGTGGAAGCACCTATCTTCATCAAAAATGGAAATGACTTCCAAGACTTTAGCTACATTCAGTACTGTGAAGCATATGATGAGGAAGAAAACAAACAAAAGAATCCATCTAAAATTCTATCTGGATCAGGTGGTAAACGGAAGAAAAAGAAAAATTTGAAGATAATAAAGACTACTGGAGGGAACAAGATCTCATTTGCACAGCAAAAACTGACAATTCCTGCAAACTCTAGATCAGAGATCACGGTCAAGCTTGATTGTACCAGTGAAGAGGTGATTTCAGAGATCTTACAAATCCTTGTCAAAGATGGCTCCTCTCAGTTTATCTACCTCAACGCCAACATCCAAACAATCAAAGTCTGTCTCAGTCGCTACAACATCGACTTGGGTTTGATCTACGCTGGAATCAAGCAGAACATTGACTCTAGGCATTCTCAGTGTGTTGTCATGAAGAACTACGGCAACCTTGCAGCCAAGTTCGACTGGAACGAACAAGTCATTCCAGACAAATGGAAGATCCAGTTCGATCCGCCCAGAGGGACTCTTGAGCCTCACCAAGAACTCGTCGTCAACGTCAAGCTGACTGCTTTCTCAGGAGGAGACATGCACCAGATCTTCACTTGCGATGTGGCTGACTTCGACTATCCGCTGGGGTTCGTGCTGAAGGCCAATGTGTACGGGCTCAGGGTTTGCCACATGCTTCCTGATTATGTAGTTGAGGCACAGAAAGCAGCTCTTTCAATGACTAATACTGCTCAAAGTAAACTCCTTACAACCAAAAACTTCAAAGGTATTGAAGACGTCAAAGAATCTGAAGATGCTAAAGATGAAGAAAAACTTAAATTAAAATCCTTAAAATTCCCGTCCTGCACCATTAATAAGCCTTCCTCTCAGAGATTTATTTTGAAGAACATGTCTGGAATAAAGACTACCTTCAATTTCAAGTCTAAAGAGTATGAGCCAGATGATTTGGTTCTCCCAGTCAACATAAAAGGGCAGTCCTCACTTGACAACATTCCTAATCAGGACATTGACGAAAGTCTCACTATCTCAAAGCCTGGAAGTAGGTCAAGCAAACGTGAAACCAAAATCAGATTTGCACTCTCCACAAAGACAAAGAAGGGACTCAAAGTCAAGCAGCTTAAGAGAGCTCTCTTGACGGACAGTCATGAGCATCAGAACAAGTTCCAGTCCAAGACTGGAGAGACTTTCACTGCTACAAAGAGGCTTGAAAGGGAACAAGCTTTCTACCTATCGAACAACAAAGGTCTTGCTATTGTGTTCAGCCCTCATTTTGGAGAACTGAAGCCTCATGAGGAGATACCAGTTGATGTGACTATCTACAATAATGCTTGAGGAAGGTTTGAAGATACTCTCGTATCTGAAGTTAAAGGACTACAGCCATTCAAATTCCCCATCTATGTGTCTATTAACGGAAGCCCACTTATCATCCCAGAAAATCAGGTTGGGTTGAATTACTACACCTCGCCTCCAACAATGGCTTTTCCTACTGTTGTTGAAAAGAGCCCTCAACAGGGTAGAACTTTCAAGATCAAGAATACTGGGATCGCTGATGTAGTAATCGACTGGAAGCTCTTTGACCAGAAAGAGGAAAATATTGCAAAACAACAGGAAAATGACCTTTTCAATATATCGATAGGCAAAAATACAGGATTTGACTCAGAAGATAACCCATTCAAGCTCAAATTTGACTTAAATGAGCCTGAGCCAAGTGAGAACTCTCCTTTTGAAATTGAGCCTCAAAAGGTGGTCATCCCAGCCAATGAGATTCAGGTCTTTGAAGTCAAATTCAACTCCACACAAGGTGTTGATAAATTTAAAAGTGTTGTTCTTGCTCACCCACAATTAGCAGAGGACATGGACGAGCCAGAGGGAGATGAAGAGAACAAAGTTGAAGAAGTCCTTGAAACTCGTAAGACATTTGACCTCTATGACTACAACTCAGACTCCAGTGAGGAAAGAAACAGACAAATGGGGGAGGAAGAATCTCCTTACGACAGGCAGGCTTTAGAGACTCCAACAGAAAGGGCTCCCGATAGCGACCATGATCCTGCCAATGATGTCAAGAAGAGAGATTTAGGAATAGTTGCGCTCAAACTATTCGCCCAAACCATTGAACCAGTCTTGTCAGTGGATATGAAACAAAAACTTGATGGAGAATATTACTTCAATTTCCATCAATGGCCAATGAATCATGAAGATGAGCCTTCAGATGTGGAAAAGATATGACTCGTAAACGAGACCAAGGCAAACCTCGTGTTCAACATTGGAACAGATGGGCCTTTTGAAATTGTTGGATCAAAGACGAATTCAGGGTCTAATCATCCTTTAGCTCCTTCTCGGCAACCAAGCAAGAAGGTAAAATCCCTTCCAATCACAATGTTTGATCTCCAACCAGACAAGATAGTCCAATTAAAGGTGAAGTTCCATCCTCCAAACCCTCTAAACAGCATGGAATGGCCACTTGTGCAAAGCTATGTTAAGAAAGGATTGCTTCAGGTAGAATTCGCAAATGGTAAACAGCAAGGATTCAACCTCCTGGGCAACCTTCTTAGACCTAGAGTCAAAGTTGTCACTGAGAAGCCGTGTAAATAACGAAAAAGGGGTTGATGAGATCAACCTAGGAGAGGTCAACATTGAGAACTACAGGACCTCACACTTTTACCTTATTAATCCTACTGCTGTCCCTGCTCGGTGGACTCTTAACTACGTCAAATTCCCTATGAAGGAGACTATGGGATACATGACTAAAACACCATTGGAGATCGAAAATCTTAAGAAGACAGATGATCCAGATGTGTTTCAGTTCTACGTAACAGAGGTAATTACAGTATCTAAAATTATAGGGATGCCTAAAAGGACCGAGCATGCCGCTCAGAATAACTCCAGAGGGCTTAGCCCTCCCTTCAGTGCCTCTTAACTCGGAAGAGGCTGAATATCTGCCTCTAAAAATAATGGTCCAGTTCAATCCGAAGGCCAATATACTTTACAAATCAAAATTCAAATTCACTGTTGAAAATGGAATGGACTACGATCTCATGTTCAAAGGAAAAGGATCGTACGAAGAAGATTAGATATTTAACAATTGATGTTTCAATTTAGGTTTATGAGAACGGGGTTTTGGGGTTTTGGGGTTTTGGGGTTTTGGGGTTTTGGGGTTTTGGGGTTTTGGGG